CTTTTTCTATGCCTTGACCCTGGGCTAGCTGGGTGCCACTGCAAGGAACACATGTTTCTTATTGGAGAACTAGACACAGATACCAGCAGTCAAAATGCCATTTATTGAGTGTTGTGGCAGAAGTGTGCATGGTACACTGTGCGAGCAGACCAGGAGGAAGCATGGCTGCACTGGGGATTACAGTTTGGAAAGCATATACGACTTCTTTCCTAAGTGATGCTCTGAAGAATGAACCATAATGGTAATAGTTTCCATTTGTTGTTTGCCAGGCCATGTTCAGGGTTTGTTTTTTGCTTTAAATCTTTGTGGCAAACCTATTGGACACTATTATCCTTATCTTACAGATGAGGAAACTGAGGCACATAAAAGTTAAATTATTTGCCCAAGGTCCTAGTGCTGGTAAATGATAGAGGAAGGTTTCAAACTCTAGTAGTTGGGTGTCAGAATCTGATTTCTTAACCCTAACACGGACTGGGAAGAAGTTAATCTAAAATGTTGTAACAAGAAGAAAGCACATGCGAAAGCACACGTTCAGTCTAACATGCTGAGTTAGCGACCCACAAGTGTTCAGTGTAGTTAAGCACAGGCTCAGGGGGGCACTGGACTGTTTGCCAGAAAGGTAAGTGTTAGATGGTCAGAGCAGAGCTTTAGAAATCTCAGTCTGAGTAGAGTGTCGGGACCATGGAAGGTAAGGCTGCCACCAGAAATGTCAGTGAGATAGCTATTTCAGCAGTTCTGGGCAGAGATGTTGAGACTGTCACAGGGAGGTGTCCATGGGGTGGAGAAGATGATGGGTATTGGATAGACATAAATGGATAGACTAGGTAGGACATGCTAAACATTACAGTGGAGGAAGAAGGGACTTTAGAACAATTTAGAGGACTTCTAAATTTAGAGGCAATATGAACTCTGCTGGATGGTGACAGGGAAATGGAGAAAAAGGGATGGATCGGAGGAGCGATTCTCCTTAAAGAACTGACAGCATGGGGAAAGCTACAGAAGGAAGAGGGGAGAATTGGAATTCTTTTCAGAGTTTTTAACCTAAGTCAAGAATAATGAATTAAAATTTTGCTCTAAGTGGAGAAGAATGAGAATCTTAAGATTTTGTTGGACCTTTCAGATATTACAGTCATTTAATCACATGAAAGTATGGGCCTTGAACGCGGATTACGAAGGTCTGTGTTTGCATCATTAGAGCTAATAGTTGATATTTACAAAATGCATCTTAGGACAAGAGTAGGACAGGTGCGCAACTAAATAGGCAAGAAGGAGAGGCAAACTTCAACTTTGGATTTCTTCCAGAGGAACGTGGCATGTTACCTGGGGCACCTAGGAGGCAAAAATGTTTCTGGAATCAGGAGGTTCAGGACTGAGGAAAGAATTAGGCTTAAAGGCAGTGACTGTGCTGAGCAGACATGGTCTAGTTGTTGTTAGGATATGTTATGTGTGGGCTTTTTAAAATCATTTAGCTGCTGTTTTTGTTTTAAATTTTCCTCTGAAGCTAGTAGTCTGTATTGTGCCATTTATAGTTATAGGTTATGTTTTTTCTTAATGATATATCTGAATACCGTAGGACTGTAACTTACTTGAAAATAGAAGTTGTATATACTTCTTGATTTTCCATTGAGTGTTGATGATATTTGTCTAAAACATGGATTTTATCCCACTTAAAGGGGAAAAAAAAGCGAAATGACTCCACCCAGAGATTAAGTGACTTATGCTGTGTGTTTTCTTAGCTCTTCAGGAAGCTGCAGCAAGGTTTGAGGAATTAAAGGCTCAAAAAGAGCTAAGACAGCTGCAGGAAGACCGAAAGAATGATAAGAAGCCACCGCCTTATAAACATATAAAGGTGAGAAGAGACCTCAGGAGACTCCATCTCAAGGGGAGCCCCTGGTATAGCTTGCCCTCTTCCCAGTCTGTTCATAACAATTGGAAGCACAAGCACAGTTGTTTTTAAGTAGAGGTCTGAGCTTGAAAGAAGAAAAAAGTGCCATTGTGTGCACTTTATAAAATGACTTATGCGTTGATATAGTCTCTTTTCCTCTTGCCTTGGAAAGTCCTCTCTTACAAGTAGCTTGAATCAAATTCTGTTTATAGTCAATATCTTGTGGTTTGAAAGGGACCAAGGAACCATGATTAAAAATGATAAAATGGCTCTGAGATCGTGTGAATAGTATACCTGGGTAAGTCTTCTTGGGTAGTGGCTGATACTGAAGATTTCGGTGACCAGTATGATGAGGATTCCCAAGGTCAGGAGGATTCATGTTAAGTGTATCTAACCCTTAGTGTAACTCTTAGAGTCATCACCATTTATTACCTGGGTTCAGTGGGCTCTTTGTATTTTTCATATTTTTAAATCATTTTTATAAATAATTTATAGAAGTAAAGATAAAAGAATAGTAAAGAACAAATTTATTAGACGTTTTAGTAGCACAATCACCATGTTGAGCCTGGCTATTGTTGGAGCAACTTCCCACAAGTGATTTAATCACAGAAGTTAGAGGCCAGGGTCTTCACTTAGAAAAACAAACAAACAAACAAAAAAACGTATTTCCATGAAAAAGATTTAGAACAAGGATTGGCAAATTATGGTCTATGGGCCAAATCTGGCCTACTATGGTTGGGGGAAAAATAAAAATATTTTCTGACACATGAAGATTATATGACATTCATATATCAGTATCCATAAAATAAAGTTTTATTGGCACACAGTTGTGCTTTTTTATTTATGTATTGTCTGTTGCTACCTTTGTTAAAATGACAGAGTTGAGTCAATGTGCCTCCAAGATCTAGGGCCTACAAATCCTAAAATATTTGCTGTCTAGCCCTTTACAAAAAGTGTGCTAAATCCCTATTTAGAGTATTGGTGTTGTTCTTAATTAACCATGTGTATTTATTTGTTTGGTATTTCTGTTTGTTTGTTGCTTTATGTTAGGCAAGAAACTTACTTGGGGTTAATAACAGGTTAAATCAGGAAAGAATAATTGAAACATACCTTTATATAAAGAAAAGGAGTAGGATGAAACTTTTGGGGGATGTCGTGATGTCAGGTAAACATAACTTTGAATAAGAGGTGAATATTCAAATGCCCTATGTAGGACCTGCCCTCTCAGATGATTAAGCTCAGCCCTTGTTTTCTATCCCTGTAGAACTTGCCTTAGTAGGTTTGTGGCTTCCAGTTGCATATAGTAAGAATATTCCTCCATTAACAAGAGTTTTACAGTTTTCACCAGTATTTTGAAGAATCTGGGAAGAGATCTGGCAGTGAAATTGTCCTTTTAAGTTATTAAGAGAACTGGGTTGAAGACAATATATTTCTACAAACAGATCGTAGATTTTATAATATTGTTAAAGAACAGAAGGCAAACAATAAAGTGTTAGAAATGAAACTATTTGAGAATTTAGAGGGTGGAAATAACTGTTAAGGTGTAATCATAATGATTTTTGATTGGAGTTGGTAATCTAGAATATTTGATGTGACAATTACAAGGGACATTAAAAGAAAGAATTATAACATCTGTCTTGTTTAAAGGCTGCTAGGCTCTTTACTAGATTCTTTACCATATATTTCTTATTCTCACAAGTCTTGCAATATAATTTATCAAAGTCACGCAGTTCCTGAATAGTTAAATTTTATGTATGGGATGGGTTTCTGAAGATTGGCAGTTTGACTATTCCCAAGTGAAATAATACCAAGTAGGGAGACTCATTCCTATAGTGTACAAATCCATCTCCTTTATGGAATGTCTATTTTTTTTTTTCATCAGCATCGTTGCTTCTATTGTAAAAACTAATGGCTTTAGTGTCACAGTAGCTCTTTGATTTTTATGTTTTATAAGACTAGATTTGCTCTGTAGTTTTCAGTACTAGCAGCACTACTAAGTAAAATGCTTGCGTGACATTGCTGCAGTCTATTAGAAAAATTTCAAATTATGATAGTAAATATTAAAGTACATCTTCACATACAGATACAGGAACCGCAATTACCCAAAGACATTTCCATGTCAGTCATTTTCTCTCTTAAGACGTGTAGCAGCCAAAGTGATGCCACCATGTGGCAATAGCAGAAACCCAGTTACAATTCACTTGGCCTACCACATTTGAAATTATGGTTCTTTAAAATTAATTTTTAAAAAATTTTTGTTAGATTCATATTTTTTTTATGTCAAGTGAAGCCTTATTTTTAGGTCAAACTGCCTAAATTTTTATTTTCTTCAGATGTTTTGTGATAAAATATAGATAACAAAATTTGTCATCTTAACTATATTTAAGAGTTCAGAGGTATTAAATGCATTCATATCCATCACCACTGTCATCTCTAGAACGTTTTATCTTTTTGTAAAACTGAAACTCTATACCCATTAAACAATAACTCTCATTTTCACCTCCTCTTGGTCTCTGACAACGACCATTCTACTTTTTGTCTCTAATTTTGACTAAGTAAGTTATATAAGTGGAATCATACAGTATTTGTCTTTTTATGACTGGCTTGTTTCATGTAATGTAATGTCTTCCAGGTTCATATATGTGGTAGTATATTTCAGAATTTCCTTCCTTTTTAGGCTGAATAATATTATTTGTACTGAATTTGGCTTATCCATTCATCTTGTCAATGGACTCTTGGTTTGCTTCCACATTTTAGCAATTGTGAATAATGCTGCTAAATCTTGATAGTTCAAAATCATGTAAAATGTGGTATGTAACTTTAAGGAAAAAAAAAAAACCTGCCCTTTATAGGTCCTGAATTGCCTTGTGTTGACTTGCATGATGTATGTGTTTCTTCCCAGGTGAACCGTCCTATTGGCAGGGTACAGATCTTCACTGCAGACTTGTCTGAAATTCCCCGTTGCAACTGTAAAGCTACTGATGAGAACCCCTGTGGGATAGATTCCGAGTGCATCAACCGCATGCTGCTCTATGAGTGTCATCCCACAGTCTGTCCTGCTGGGGGGCGCTGCCAAAACCAGTGCTTCACTAAGCGCCAGTACCCAGAGGTGGAAATTTTTCGCACATTACAGAGGGGCTGGGGTCTCCGAACAAAAACAGATATTAAAAAGGTGAAGAAAACTTTTCTTAATTTCCAGATTTTTTTACTTTGCAATTGTTTAATATGAGTAATTCTTGATGAATATGAGAAAATTGATCATAAAGGAAAATAACAGTGTAGAAATTAACCTTCTTGCCATAGCCTCCTTGAGTTCAGAAGCTTGAGAATAGATGTGCTCCTTTATATCTCAAAAGTCCTTAGTCTTGATCGTGTTCACTGTGTATGAGGATGAAAAAATGAGGGAAATTAAGAGAAACTGTGGCCTTACTTGCTTTTTTCTGAAAACCCTAGAATCTGTAGTTAAGAGAGGATAGTGAGCACATAATTCAGAGGTGTTAATCACCTGCTAATAAAATCTTCTTTTACTGAGGGAAAATAGGTTTGGGTTCATAGAACATGAAGGAGAAGAGGATTGGGCCTTTTCTGATGAAAATGTAGTAATATCTTCAACTTCAAACTTGGAAGGACCTGCAAGTTTCTGATAAGTAGATAATATTGTATATTTTTGTGTAGAATAAAACTTATTTGACATTTTAATAAACCTTTCTCTGATTATACTTTCTAAAGAATTTCACTGAAGTTCATTTCTAGGAAAGAAAGTGAATCTAGGTTATCTCCTTAGTCATTTGCTAAGACATTGTGCTGAGGATGCAGTGCTCAGTAGGACACATGCTCCATGCTTGCATAAAGTGTTGATTCTAGAGAAGGGGAGACAGTGAACAAGTAATCACCCAGTGAGGAAGCAAAAAGGGTTCTTCAGGCATGTGGCCGAGAGCCTGAAACTTGCTTGTCTCTGTTTTAAGTTGAGACTTGAAAGATAACTAGTTGTTGGCTTAGATCAGTTGAGTGTTAAAGCATTGCAGATGGAAGGGACACTAGTATAACTGTAGTGTAGTGAGTCAGAGATACAGAAGTGTGACATATGGAAGGGCAGCAGGCAGGGCATGTTCCAAGGAAAAAGAACATAGTTTAGGGAAGTTGACTTTTAGACCTTTATGCAGGAAAAGGGATTAACTATTCATTTCGTCATTATAATGGAGCCTTAGTTTACTTACTTGCATTTTGGTTGATCTTTTAGGTCCAGTGTGTTCCTATCTTTCTCAGAATGGCAGTAGTAGGAGTGAGGAGATTGTCAGTAGTTGAAGCATCGTATTTGTTATGTTTTTTGAATAAACCTTTGTTAAGTGACCATTACATGCACATGAACAGTTGCGGAGAATCTGTGGAGAATAATAAATCTGTTATTTTCTTTCTTTCTTTTTCTTTTTTTTTTTTTTAAGTAAGGTGTACCTGTGAACACAGTTGTGCTTTTTGCCACTAACAGCTGTTTCTTGTTCTAGGGCGAGTTCGTGAATGAGTATGTGGGTGAACTGATAGATGAAGAAGAGTGCAGAGCTCGGATCCGTTACGCCCAGGAACATGATATCACTAATTTCTACATGCTTACCCTGGACAAAGTAAGTAATAGGAAGTACTAGTTCCATTGTTGTAAAATTGTGAAGTTAGTGTTTCCCAGCCACAGTGTTTGTAGGCATGTCATACACTGCCCGAGTAGTGTCTCTCCCCATGTTCATAGGGCCGCTTGGTCAGGGTCCTGGAGGAGGTATATGTGCTCTCGTTTCTGGCTGTGCGTGCACCCATGGCCGACGGCAGCGCTGCTTTTAGCATTCTTTTTAAGCTATCCATTGTAAGTTGGGAACTATATCTTTTAGTATTTTTCCTGTAGGATTAAAACTTGAAGCCAGAGAAGTAAATAATCATTCTTTTATTTATTTTACAGATTGAGAAACTTATTGTCGATATTTAATTAGTGCATTGAGAAGGTCATATGAATTGACTATAGAACTCAGCTTATGAACCCAAGTCAGCTTTCCAATTAAGAATTTTTGGATGAGTTTCATTTCATTGGTCCCTAGAATTATATTTGGAACTTATTCCTAATTCTGATATCCTAATATGTTTATTTTCTATGTATCTGAGATTCTTCTTTGTATCTGAATATTAGATTCTGCTAGCTTGTTAAAATTATTATTCTTTCTTCCACTAGCTTTTGTAACAGAATTCTTGTGTGATATGTAACTGAACATTTATCAAGTTGTACCTTAATGCTTTATGAGATCCTCACCTCCAGATGTTCTCATCTTTTAGAATGAGCTCGGCATCAGTATTAAAATCTCCTTAGGTGATTTCTAATGTGGAGCCAGGGTTCAGGATTACCTAATTTAGAGGATGGGACAAGCTGCTGCTTTTAGGACTTCATATATCAGAATCACCTATTGGGCTTGTTATGAAACAAATTGCTGGGCCCCCTCAGAGTTTCTGCTTTAATATATCTGAAGCACAATCCAAGAATTTGCATTTCAAATAAGTTCCCAGGAGGTGATGCTAGTGCTGATCCAGGGAGTGCACTTTGAGAATCCCTCCTCCGGGAAATTCTGACTTTACAAATAGGAACTCTAGTGTGTTAGAATTTTCAGGAAGTGAATCTCTTGGAATTCTAGGACCGGATCATTGATGCTGGTCCCAAAGGCAACTATGCTCGGTTTATGAATCATTGCTGCCAGCCCAACTGCGAGACACAGAAGTGGTCTGTCAATGGAGATACTCGTGTCGGCCTTTTTGCCCTGAGTGACATTAAAGCAGGTAAGAATCATTTAAGGATTCTGGAGCTAAGAAAGGAATTTCAGATTTTATCATCCAAAAGCCTGACATGTTCTGTAATCCAAAATGAGATTTGCAAACTCTGAGGATGTATGAAAGGCTATCCAGGTCATACTTGTCATGGAAGTTTTTGTTGGTGGCAGTGTGGTAAAATATACGTAACATAAAATTTACCATTTTAACCATTCTTAAGGGTATAGTTCTGTGGCATTAAGTCCATTCACATTGTTTGCAACCATCACCACCATCTGTCTTCATAACTCTTTTCATTTTCCCGAAGTTGAACTCTGTACCTAACTCCCCATTGTCCTCTCCCCAAGCCAGTGGCAACCAGCAGTCTACTCTATGATTTTGACGACTCTATGAACTTCATATAAATGGAATCATAGTGTTCGTTCTTTTGTGACTAACTCATTTCACTTAGCATGGTGTCTTCAGTTTTGGATATGGATGGTTTTATTTATTTAGGTAACATTGGTTAACAAAATTTAGTAAGTTTCAAGTTTACAATTTAACAGTAAGGCATATATATATATATAGAAAGAGAGAGAGAGAGAGAGATATTGCATTGCATGTTTCTCTCCCATAGTTAGATTTCTTTCTGTCACCACATATTTGACCCATTTTACCCCATCTACCTCCCTCCCCGCTACCCTCTGGTAACCACTAGTCTGTTGTTCATGTTCATGTTCATTTGTTGCTTGGGTATGGATGGTTTTAAAGGAAGAAATTTCCAGGCCTTTCCATAACTTTTATATGAAATCCTTGAAAATTGGTCTACCTTAGAAAGCATCAGCAATCCATGGCTCCTTTCTTACCATCCCTTTCACAGTTGCCCTTCACCCATTTTATAAACCAAAGGTTCTCTCTAACCCACATGAAGTTTATGGTTTAAGAGCCCAAGGCTATTTAAAAACAAATTAACAGACAGCTCTCACTTCTAGAATACCAAAGAACTGGACATTTGGAGAATGAACAGCTCTGTCGTGGCCAGCCTAGGTGCCTGTGTCTCTAAGATTTAAGAGTGCAGAAGTGAGGTGTTGTAACCAGGACAGTATTAAGATGTTTGAAAGTAAATCTGATATGGATTAGAGGTTTGAAAGTAAACTTGTATGACAGATATTTTCCATATTAAAAGAGCTTAATCTGTAGCATCAAGGTTTTAATGAATTTATTTTAAACATGTATACATAACATATGACACCCTCTAAACTGCGTGACCTAAAAAAATATTTAGACTTGTATAAAGTTTGTGTATTTTGAATGTACAAAGAAGTACATCAGTTTTCAAAATGAGTTTTGCAGGGACACAAGCAAAACACATTTAAATTTAAAGATCACTCTCTTAGATTCAAACTAAAATGGGACTGGCCTAGATTGTTTGTAATTGACAATAGCATAGTCCAATATGGTTGAAGCGGAAATCCCATATGAGCACTCTGGAAGAAGACCAAAGTTCTTCTTTGCCCAGTGTTGTTTACCTCAGGAAACAGTAATCAAGATAAAATAATTAAAGAGCAATTGGGTCAGGTTTTGGTCTGTTGCCTTTTTTTTTTTTTTAATCTGTAGACATTCCCCCCTTCTCCCCATATAGTTTTTCTCTACAGTTTAAATGCACTGCACAGGAGTTGTTTAGATTTTTCAGAGTTTTAAAGGTTTTAACAATTTTCATATTTTAAAAATTCAACCATTAGTTCTTTTGTTTTTCACTACTTAAAGTACTAAATGGTGAAGGCAACAATGCTTGAACATCACTGTGCTCTGCACTCAGCTGGACTATCATACTGATTTTTAAAATGGTGACTTGTATCAAGTTTTTTGAATGAATGAGTTGAGAGTAAATTAGGTCAATTTCTACTTTGTAACAGGAATTGTCAAGTGAATGCTGTAAAACCTACCATTTATCATATGACAGACACCATTACAAGAATATTATATAATTTAATCCTTGCAAAAATGCTGTAACATATGGTATTATACCTATATTACTTGGATTCTTGGGTTTGACTCCTTGCCTTCTTTTCTCCATTTTTCATTTTCCCCTCTAACCACCTGGGGTCAGGGGCGCGTGTGGTTCCTCTGTATTAATTAATTGCTCAGATGTTACTTGGTCATATGACTTTAGTACTTATATCTCTCCTGACTGCTTTTAGTACCACAGTTGTACTCAGAACCTGAGTTTTTCAATGGGAATGGTCTCCTCTACTGTGTCTAGCCTCAAATTTCTCTCTTCTCCCATATCAGCTCAGGTAGCATGTTGTTGGATTTCTCAGACCTTGTTCTTGTCCTCACTGACTTTTAGTCTGCATGGGTGTGATGGAGAAATGAGACAGAATGTGCTGAGAGCCCGTAGGAGCTGAGGCCTTGGCAGATGGAATCAGAACTGTCAGGCTTGCTCTCCTCCTTACTCATCCAACTTCCTGTGCTCTTCACCTATCTGTTATTCTCTGCCTCTCACGTGTGTCATCTCTTCTCCTTTTGCCCTCCTCATTATGTTCAGACTTCTTTCTAGAATGCTATGAGTCTCTCTGTGTGCATTGATACATTCTGATTTATCCCTGTGTGGTTATGTTTACATACTGGATGCTGAATGAACAGCAAACAGGTTATGCCAAGTATCCTACTATCTTGTGTATATGCTTGGGCTGCATTATAAGCACATTAAATTTATGAAAATTTCAGTTATATACTTATAAATTGTTTAATAAGAAAAGAATAATGTGATAGAATTATTTGTCATTCAGTCCAGTAACTTCCCAGTGGGTGTGACAGAGGAAACACGACGAATATTGAATGTGTTTTATTTGCTTTCTTGGTTTTGGTGGAAATGCATAACAGGAAAGGGACATTTTGTGCCTTAAATCTGTACATAAAGTTTACAATTACTACTCTGTCATATTGTCTCAATAAGCTTGTGAAATTGTTATTTCACCTTTTAAGAGATGGACTCATCTTAGATTGTGGAATAACTGGAATATAAAGCCAGGGCTTTGGGTCTGTGGTCTAGAGTTCTCTGTGCTGAGAACTGTCTTACCCCTTGAATGCTGCCAGTGCTCACACTGGCACAGACCAACAGATTTTTCTTATACTTGCATTCTCAATGCCTGGCACATCAGTGTACAGTCAGTTGTTATTGTTTGTTGGTTTGGTTTTGGTAATGAATTAATATATTTTGAATATGATTGATTAGAAAACAAATGAAAAACAATTCAAATTATTAACACCTGCAGTAAAAGTTAGTTATTATTTGTTAAGCCATTTATGTTTTTCTCTTATTAAGTTGTATTAGCTGATTAGTAATGTTAAAGAATTAGAATTAATATAGTGGGATTTAGGGTTAAGAAATTTTTTTTAAGAAATTTTTTAGTCTTTTAAAAATTAATCTTTTCTTTTAGAAGTCAATATCTTTTGTGGTTAATACAGATGATTAAAACTGTAGATATTAATATTTTCATGATCTCTTACGCAGGCACTGAACTTACCTTCAACTACAACCTAGAATGTCTTGGGAATGGAAAGACCGTTTGCAAATGTGGAGCCCCGAACTGCAGCGGCTTTTTGGGTGTAAGGCCAAAGGTACCTTCCAAACATTTGCATCGGGAATAATGGTGTGGTCCTCCTGCCCTAACCAGTGCAGAGCTGGGTCTTTAAGATGTCTCTTTGAAATAATAACATTGAATAGTTGTCAATGTCAGGGCCACTGGCAATTTACTAAGCATTCTGATGGTCAATTTGGTTACACAAGAGAGTACCTTTGGATATTGTTGAAGTGTTCTGAGCAATCTGACTTCTAATTGGTGATACCTTTCTAGCTAAAAAAAGCTGTAAAATAGGAATCTGTAAAGTGGGTTACTTCCCATGTCTTTATTGGTCTCAGCTGATTTCACTCATATTTCCTAATAAACTACCTGCTGCTTAGATTCTTGGTATCTGCTTGCCCCTCCCACCCTCCCTCTCTCTCTGTCTTTTTTAAGATATCAAAGAATCTAATATGAATTTAAGATTCTAAACTTAGTATAACACTGTAGATAAGTATAGGACCTTTAAATCTTACTGTTGTAACAAGGTATAAACACTGTTGTGTCTTCCTGGTTTTTTATGTGCGCTATAACTGAATTATAATTCTATAACTGTTATGAATTGTTTACAAGTCTGTATCCTGCTTTTCTTAAATATAAAAAACTTTCCTTGCTGTTACATAGTCTTTTTAATCAACATTTTTTAGTGACTGTTAAATTTTTTTCTATGATGAATGGACCATAATAAATGAACATCTAGATGCTTCCAGATTTCTCTATCATAAGTAACAGCACATTGAAAATTGAAGTTTAATTTGGATGCACAGTAGACTATACAGTGACTCTAGTTGGGTATTTCCCGTAATGGTTTTTTGATTATGAAGTCTACTTTAAGAACTGAAAAATGCAAATTAGCATAGAAACCAGTAACTAAAGATGGTAATCATTTTGAACAGGAACACATGAAAATGAAGAGCAGCCACTAAATATTTTATCTTATTAAATAAGGAAAATTATATTGGGTTTTGTTTTGTTTTTTTTTTTGTTTATAATTGATTGGTTAAATGGCCTTGTTCCTTAAGATGTCAGTTGACTTATTCCCTGTAAATTAAAATAGTAACTGAGTTTAACCTGAGTTTAATGGCGTTTACTCTTGTTATGTGCACTGGGGATGTCAGTTTCTGCATCCTTAAGGTCTCTGTACCATTTCACACAAGAATCAGAGAGAAATTGGAGAGCAGACGATTAGAAATGGGAGATCACTATAGGCTAGAAATAAATCAGATTGATCCTGGATGCTTCTAGGCCAAGATAATGTGATGAAAACCACCGGATTTGGTGACCAAGTATGGGCTGCCAGAGGAGACCTGCTGGCTGCACCAGGGTCTGTCTTGGGGAGCAGTGGACATAAATCTAATTTGACTTAAGATTCTATAGCTTGTTGAGGGCAAAGACCCTGAATTAGTTTTCTGTGTCCTTCTGGCATGTGGCTCATACTATTGTTCAGTGAATGTTTATTGAATAAGCTAGGAAATGTGTGCATGCATGCACACACACAGAAGTCTTCCTTAGTTTTGAAATTAAGACAAACATAAAAATAAAACTTATGAAAGGGTAACCATTAACACCGGCATTGTGTGTCAACAAAAAGAAGCACATTTCTCTTTTGTTTTATTCAGGTGGCAAGAGTAGTTGGTAACAAAAGGTACAACTAATATAACCATTTATTGGGTACCTGTGATGTGCAGGGTGCCTTTTTTGCATTTTCTCTTATCTTTACAACAATCTATGAGGACTGTCTCTTCCCAGAGGAGAGACTGAGGCTCAGAGAGGATAGTTAACCTGGTCAAGATCATACAACTAATGTGTCGACAGAATGTTGACTGCTCAATATCTGACCTCTAGAATCAACCCATTGCCACGGAAGAAAAGTCAAGGAAATTCAAGAAGAAGCAACAGGGGAAGCGCAGGAGCCAGGGTGAAATCACAAAGGAGCGAGAGGATGAGTGTTTCAGCTGTGGGGATGCTGGCCAGCTCGTCTCCTGTAAGAAGCCAGGCTGCCCAAAAGTTTACCACGCAGACTGTCTCAATCTAACCAAGCGACCAGCAGGTTGGTGCCAAAATCTGTTTAGAGGGCTCCTTATTCTCTGCCAGAATTCTCAGAGCCCTTTGGTTTCTCTATGCATAGTGTTGAAGGAATATGGTCCATGTTCTCTTTCTGGAAATAAATGACAGCAAAGGCTTAGAACTCTAGGTTATAGAGAAGGGAACAGAAATGCACTTGCTATGTGTCAAATACTTTATATACATTTCTGTTATTATTTTGTCCTAGCAACCCATAAAGATGAGACCTTTTCACCTTCCAATGATGCAGATGAGAAAACAGTAGAGTTTGGTGAGACGACTTATTAAATTAGAGCACATAGATGAAGTGGATTGAAAGCCAGGTTTTCTGACCTCAAGGCCGCTAAGTCATGTTCCTTTTCTAAAGAAAAAGATTGAGACAAAGTAGAGCTTTGGGTCATTCTAGTCAGTGAGGGGTGGACCTGCACCATTGTTAGCCCCCTCCAGCCTGCTGCTTAGGCAGATGTGGAACCCAGGAATTTGTGGTTGGAGAAGTCACTCACCTTTGGGTCCTTGTTTGGAGTTAGAGGGATTTTAGGGATTTTGACCTGCCATCTATTTTAAATGACAAAGGTAAGAAGCCAGTAAGAAGCGTTCCAGGTGAGAAGATTATATATCACTGGTGTACTGGCTTGCTTCCAGGAATTGCAGGAAGAGAAGAACTTTGGGGTGGGAGTGAAAGGAGTTTGTCCCTGAATTAGCTTTCTTTCGATATGTGGTTGCCAAGGTAATGAAATAATAGAAACTGAGGTGGTATGAGGGCAAGGCCATAACATTTACCTGTTCGTGCCAAGGAGTGGAAATAGGAAATTGTTTCAGAATTAATTACTCAGGGCCATAGCTGGCACAGGCTGTGATAGAACTGATCTTGCTTATGATCCAGGAGCATAGTTTATTTGGAAGGAGCCATGGTAGAAACACTGCCCATGACATAGACTCTCAGGTGCCATTAAATGGGGGCAAATAAACAGCAGCTCAGGTTAGCTTTGTGTGGACGATGTAGGTAAAGTTTATGCTAGCTTAAAATTGAGCAAGGGTAAATCTGCTTCCATTTTTCACATTTGTATATCTCTTCCGTCTTCCTACTGCTAATAACCAAATATGGAGGAGTTTAAATTGCTGAGATTTTTCTCCTTAGAGTTGAAAATTTCAAGGCTATATAGGACAAATGGAGTTTGCAAAAATATAAAAGTAGTATCCTCACATTCTGTCTAAGGGGAGCTTTTTTTATATGTGGTTGTGCAGAAGAGGAAGCTGAGATCCTGGGGCAGGGGAGGCATGAGCTTGCTGCAAAATGGGTCAGTTTGAAATAACTCTTAGGATCTGGTTCCAGAAACATGGCCCATCTCATATGTATCTCTTGTTTTCCTAAGCTTTTGTTTCACATCTGTATTTTCAGGGAAATGGGAGTGTCCTTGGCATCAGTGTGACATCTGTGGGAAGGAAGCAGCCTCCTTCTGTGAGATGTGTCCCAGCTCCTTTTGCAAGCAGCATCGGGAAGGGATGCTCTTCATCTCCAAACTGGATGGCCGTCTGTCTTGTACTGAGCATGACCCCTGTGGGCCCAACCCTCTGGAACCTGGGGAGATCCGTGAGTATGTGCCTCCTCCAGTACCGCTGCCTCCAGGCCCAAGCACTCACCTGGCAGAACAATCATCAGGAGTAGCTGCTCAGGGGCCCAAGATGTCGGACAAGCCACCTGCTGATACCAACCAGACATTGTCGCTGTCCAAAAAAGCTCTGACAGGGACTTGTCAGAGGCCACCGCCTGAAAGACCTCCTGACAGAACTGACTCCAGGCCCCAGCCTGTAGATAGGGTCAGGGACCTTGCTGGGTCAGGGACCAAACCCCAATCCTTGGTATCCAGCCAGAAGCCATTGGACAGGCCACCTTCAGTGGCAGGACCAAGACCCCAACTATCTGACAAAACCTCTTCAGTGACCGGCCCAAGTTCCTCATCCTCAGTCAGGTCCCAACCACTGGAAAGACCTCTGGGGTCAGCTGACCCAAGGCTGGATAAATCCATAGGTGCTGCCAGCCCAAGGCCCCAGTCACTGGAGAAAACCCCAGTCCCTGCTGGCCTGAGACTTCCGCTGCCAGATAGACTGCTAGTCACCAACAACCCTAAACCCCAGACTTCAGACAGGTCCCCAGATAAATCCCATGCCTCTTTGTCCCAGAGATTACCACCTGACAAAGTGCTATCAGCTGTGGTCCAAACCCTGGTAGCTAAAGAAAAAGCACTGAGGCCTGTGGACCAGAATACTCAGTCAAAAAATAGAGCTGCTCTGATGGCGGATCTCATCGACCTAACTCCTCGCCAGAAGGAGCGGGCGGCTTCTCCTCATGAGGTCGTACCACACATTGATGAGAAGATGCCAGTGTTGGAGTCCAGCTTGTGGCCCGTCAGCAAAGGTCTGGGACAGATGCCTCGAGCTGTTGAGAGAGGCAATGTGTCAGATCCTGTCCTTCAGCCTCCTGGGAAAGCCACGGCCTCCTTGGAGCATCCTTGGCAAGCTGTTAAATCACTCACCCAGGCCAGACTTCTTTCTCAGCCCCCTGCCAAGGCTTTTTTATATGAGCCAGCAACTCAGGCCTCAGGAAGAGTACCTGCAGGGGCCGAGCAGATCCCAGGGTCTCCCAGCCAAGCACTAGGCCTGGTGAAGCAGGTGAAGCAGATGGTTGGAGGCCAGCAACTACCTGGACTTGCTGCCAAGAATGGGCAGTCCTTCAGGCCTCTTGGGAAGGCCCCATCCTCCCTTTCCACTGAGGAGAAGAAGTTGGGAACCTCAGAACAGAGTCCCTGGGCTCTGGGAAAGGCCTCACCAGGGCCAGGTTTCTGGCCCATGGTGGCTGGACAGACACTGGCGCAGTCTTGCTGGTCCTCTGGGAGCACACAGACATTGGCACAAACTTGCTGGTCTTTTGGAAGAGGGCAGAACCCTAAACCAGAGCAAAGTACACTTCCAGCTCTTAACCAGGCTCCTTCCAGTCACAAGTGTGCAGAGTCAGAACAGAAATAATACTAGTAAATGTCACACGACCAGACCAGCTACCCCCAGGGTTCTTGGGGAAGGGAAATCTTTCTTTTTCCCCCTTAAAAAAACAAACCCCAACACTTACCACTGTTATTCTTTCTTTATATCCCAACACTCAGAACTCTTGTGACATTAGTCAGTGGGGGCTGTGGTTGTATGAACCATGTATGGAAATCCAATTGGGCCTCAGCCAAGGAGACAGGCAGACTCGGGTCTCTTGCCCTCAACCTTTACATATGGTCAACTTGAAATAAAAAGTCCACTCTGGAGTCAAGCACGGGATTCAATTTTGCTGGTCAGGTTGGAAGGTAGGGGGCTCTTCAGCGCTGTTCTCTAGCCCTACAGAGCCCCACCGAGGGCACCCGACAAACCCTGGGAGGAACTGGTCTCTATTCAAATCAGTGGTGATTTCTTGAGTATTCATGCATGCTAGGCCAGGTGCTAGTCACTGATAGGAGATAAATAAGACCTGATCCCTGTGAGCCTAACATGCCTGCCTGGGTTTCCAGGCTGTTTTCAGGAACCTTAGACCAGGAAAAAACACGAAGTTCTGAGGGGCCCTGAGGCTCCAGACCCACTTTGTAATGTCATTTGTGGCCCCAGAAATGGTTGTGTTGAGTAAGGTTCTTCTGGTTGGGTGCATGCACATGTATGCTCATGCAGGAGGGGCTGCATAGAGGCCAAGTAGGGCTGTTGGCTGAGCAGCCACTGCTGCTTCTCTCTGAGCTGTGCAGAATCTCTGAAGGTCTGTACTTGGTGGAGCAGATGGTTGGAAGCGGGGAGGCTAGGCTCTATAAGGACATAGCTTTCCCACAGTGAAAGCAAGCAATTGGCAAATTTACCTTTCTTTTCTACAGATTTTTCTCCTTTCACATAAACCTACCCCATGCCCATCCCCCAAACACTCAGGTGCTCTCGGATTTCAGAGTCTCGGGCAGTGCACATAGGGAATCTCTCTGGCAAGCTCTGGGCTAGATCCACCACCAGCTCAGGGAGGATGCCAGATGCTGATGAAAAATTCTCCTGACTCCTTGCTCTCCCACCTGAATGGAGGGAGTTCTCTTCCTCACTAGTGGATCCTACCACCCTCCTTGAGAATTGCTATGCTCTGTTGAGAGCACCTGCCTGCTGACTTAGCTCAAAGACAAGCAAGAAGCCTTCCCCCATGACTTGTAAGAGGTGGCATTTAGAGAAATGTCCAGTCTAAGAGATGACTCCTCATAACTGCTGATTATCTGTTACTGCTGCCCTGAGCTGGGGCTCAAGGGCTGGGAAATCTGTTGGTGCTACCTTGCCCTCCCATTCCTCCAGCTCACCGACTGCCAACAGGAAGTGCTGTTTGGCCTGTTCCTTCCCATTCAGCCATGCCTCTTTTTGTCCCTAGACCAAACGTGTTTACCTCTGCTTTGCCAACTTAGCCAGCAGCTTTAGCCAATAGGCCATCTGGCCCAGATGTCTCCTGGCCATTCTGTTTCAGTTACGGCTTTTACACCCTCAACAGGATTCTGTATTTTGTCCCAATTTCCTCCTCCTAAGTTCCTATTGGGGTTACTTCCATTACTCTAAGGAGGGAACAATAGTTGTTATAGAAGCATTTGCGCTTTATATAAAGGTTAAAGAGAATTTGCTTTTATTTCCCAAAGTCTGTCTCTGGGGTTGAGACACTTGAACTCAGGCAGAGGCACAAGGCTGGGCAGGGCTGCCCTGAGTTTAGGGGCCTACCCCTGCATCTCACTTAGACCTCAGACTCTCCTCTGTAAATTCCACCTGCCTAGTTCTCCTCTTTCATCCCATCTCTCTTCCCACATCAGAGAGGAAAAGCTCTATTCAAAAGGAAGAGAAAACAAAGCATCTTATTTTCTTTTTTAAAAATTTTAAACCATGGAAAAGATATTTTTAAAGAATTCCACCCAGAACATTAAAGTTCATTATATTAAGTATTTATCATGTGTGAGAATAATAAGT